CCTCTCAGACCTCTCTGTTCTCACCTCTCAGACCTCTCTTTTAGGGCCCATGCCCACCTCTCAGACCTCTCTGTTAGGGCCCATGCCCATCTCTCTGTTCTCTCTGTTAGTGCCCATGCCCACCTCTCTCACCTCTCTGACCTCTCTGTTGGTGCCCATGCCCTCCTCTCTCATCTCTCTGACCTCTCTGACCTCTCAGAACTCTCTGTTAGGGCCCATGTCCACCTCTCTGACCTCTCAGACCTCTCTGTTAGGGCCCATGTCCACCTCTCTCACCTCTCTGTTCGTTCCCATGCAGTCCATTCTCTCACCGGTCTCACCTCTCTGATCTCTCTTTTAGGGCCCATGTCCACCTTTCTCTCCTCTCTGACCTCTCTGTTGGTGCCCATGCCCTCCTCTCTCACCTCTCTGATCTCTCTGTTAGGGCCCCTGTCCACCTCTCTCACCTCTCTGATCTCTCTGTTAGGGCCCCTGTCCACCTCTCTCACCTCTCTGACCTCTCAGACCGTGACCTGCCAGAACTAACGCTAAAGCTTAATTTTTGTACAATCAAAGTATTGGACGTTTGAATTTTTAAATGGAATTTTGAATTTTTAAGCTTAAGCATGTTGAATTTTGCAGTTCTTCTGTTTAAAATACAAATGTAATATAAAATCAAACTCTACTGTAGAGTTCAAATTGAATAATTCAATGTCAAAACTTTTTTTCATGCTCTGTAGTTCAAGACTGATTTTCTGCTCATTACCTTGTGACAGTAAATGTTTCTCATATGAATGAATTTTCTTCTTCATCTCTTCATATTTCATCAGTTTTTTCATCTGCGCCTCCAGAAATGTCTCTGTAGAGAAAACCTCTCCTCTGTTTTCTTCCAGCATCTGCTCGATGTTCTCCATCAATGTGGACACTTGTATTTTGGGACCAAAGAAATGATGTCGTCCTCCGAACCTCTCAATGACAGACTGTGTTTCTTCATTGAGTTCTGCTGTCTGATGCTCTGAATCCTGCTTTATGAGGATCATGATGTGTTTGTTGATTCTGGAGCTGAAGATCCTCTGGAGCTCCTCCGTTTCAGCTTTGTCTTCATCAGTCAGTGGAGCGTCAGGAATAATGAGGAGGAAAGCATGAACTCCAGGATGACAGAGAGACACACAGCGGAGAGTCTGACGCATCACGTCCTCCTCTGAGAGCCGAGACAGAGCTGGAAGCTCTATTACACTGATCACACAACCATGAAGCTCCACGTCTGTCTGCTGCAGGATCTGCTCTGATACGGAGGATTTTAACGTCCCGTCGCTCCCGCACACGACCAGATTCAGCTTCACAGTCTCTGAAACTGACAGAAGAAGAAGATTAAAACATGTTAATTTATCACTAGAAACTTCACACATCCTCACACTCACGTCTTCCTGTGACTCCTTGCTCCATTGTGAAATACTGTGAACCTTCAGCACACTCCAGGTGCCGTCCGTCATTCATTTTCACGATGTCCTCAAACATCTGCAAAAGATCATCAGGAGAGCTGCTTCTCTGAAGACTAAAGTGTCTGTTTGCACATTTCTGAATGATTGTCTGTAGGATGTCACTGGTTTCTGTGGTTTCTTGTGTTGTGAGCACCATGGTGTGTTGATAAACGCGCTCAGAGAGAGAGTGCAGCACCTTCTCCACGCGCTCCTGATCTTCTGCTGAACACGGCTCATGTTTGAGGAGCAGCACGATCACATGAGGTCCTGGATCAGACAGAAACACACACTCTCTCACAGTCTGTATGAGCTGATGATCTGAGATGTTCGTCTGGAGCAGCTGAGGACTGTTGATGATGATCAGGTGTCTGTCCTTCAGTCTTCCTCCGACTCTCTCTACAACATCTGGAGGAGCTTCACTGTCAAACGCTGCTCGTCCTAAGATGAAGTTTCCCACACGACTGTTTTCTGACACGCTCGAACCCAGAAGAACTATCCTCACTGCAAACAGTCAAATCAGACTTTCAGAGTTACATCTAATGATGTCAAGATCTGAATTAAATCCAACATCACAGATTGAAACGATCAGAATCCACCGGTAGAAGTTTGCATTTATCATTATAGTTTCCACACACTCTTCATCACTTCATGTGTTAATGTAGGTACAGACTTACTGTCAGGAGGTAGGTCTTTGCTCGGTCTTCTCCTGCGAGGAGGATTGTGGGCAACAATCACTGTATGAAACAAAAGTCTTACATTATATTTGACTCTTTCATCACAGTAACACAAACCGACAGAAATTAGCATCTTTGAATGATTCTTACAAACAACAATGTTATTCAAAGTGAAAGTGAGATTCTGTCAAATCACTAAAATAATGAAAATAATTATTTATGTCAATTTTCACTGAATAAGCAGTGAAGAAAATGTATTTTCCTCAGAAGTTATGTATAATCTAGTATTTCTGTCTACACATAATCTGTATCTGCATGTAAATGAAAGTGCTTCTACAGAATTGAAGTATTCTTGAAGACTCATTTGAAGCTTTCAGTGATTGTCACCTGTGGTATGGTTGGTTGACATGTTGATATTCTGTTTCCTCCTCCGTCTCTTTCGTCTGTCTTCAGCTGATGATCTTCTCGGTCTCCTGACGTCTGTCTCTTCATCGTCCTGTAAGAGATGTTAGTGCTTCTCAAACAGTAACACAATCTCTGTTCATTTATCCAGACTGTGTGAAGCTCCGTCACTGTTCTGCCTGTAGTTTTCTATTAAATAAATAAATACATTAAACTGGAACACCATACATACATGTATATATGTATGCATGTGTGTATGTAGGCCTATATATACAGTATATGTATATACATACATACGCACAAACACACACACATATGTATGTATGTATGTATGTATATATATATATATATATACCGCCTAAGTGTATTGTAGCAGCAAATTTAAACCGGAGAAAGCTTTGACGCGCTATAGCGGCGCTTGATGCGTAAGAGACCGTCTGACAATGCCACCGATTGTGTTTAAAACGTCCAATGTATTTTAACCAGTGGCGTAACTTTGCTTTGAAAAGTGGTGGGGACACCACTCAACTCGTTTTGCTAGTTTTTTATTTAATAACCTAATTTGGGGACTGGGTTTAGAGTTGAACAAACTTAATTTTTGCTTTTCAAAAATACATGGATGTACCAGAGGCGGTGCCAGAGAATTTTGAACGCAGGTAGATCATTGACAGAGGGAGCTGGACAGTTCAGGGCTCCAGACTCATTCTTCCCACTGCTGCTCTTTTGCCATTAACTTTCTCAGTTGGTTGCACAGCACTTTTTTGCACTACAGCATGCTATTAATCAATGCATGCTGATGAACTTTTATCTGAGTTTATATTTATATGGAAACGAAAGTAGTTAACATTCAACCCGTTCTTTTTCATATTATTTGTGATTTGAATTTTGTGAAGGGGAGTTCCTCTTTTGCTGTGTTATAAGTGCTTTCACTTTCGATTTCACGATCTTGTCAGGTTTT